TTAACACAGAAACACGCTATAGTATAAAAAGACGTAAAGACGAAGTTTGCGCTAGGCGTCTCCAGTATATTTCAACCCGAATTTGTTCCACGGCGGTACCACTGAAAACATGCTCGACTGTAAAATAAACACCGTGATCTGTCAATTTGAGAAATAAAATAATTCGAGGGTATATGAAGTCCGACTGAAGGCACAAAGCACTGGAGCCACGGCAGAGATGAGACGGCGGAGTGGGCACTCCTACCGATTTCTCAATACGCCCAAATATATTATAAATAAATAGGCCAATATAAGTAAAAACTTCGTTTATAAGCGTATCGTAATAAGGCACAGATAAATTACCCACATAACATACAGTGTTCAGTTTCCCCGGCTGCGTTACGAATATCCCATGACCCCTTATGTACGCTGATGATGACCACAGTGGGATTTAGCACGGTGGGGATAGGAGTCCGGCATTTCCTTTCTGTTGCCCCACAGCGATAGGTATCTATGAGGATTTCCCCAGGATATAACACAACATACAACGTTCACAAACGGCAAAACACAAACACAAAAATAAATAATGTAAGATATATCGTCACACTAATAAATATATGACACATAAAAGTAGGACGGTATGTGTAATTATCGTGAGCGAATTAGAGACGAGTATATATAGGCAGCACGTATTCCCAAATAGGAAGAAAGGAGACAGATTAGCTAATTAGCAAAGTTTTAATGTGCCACTCGCGAATTCGTATATGTCTACTTCTTATAATGCAATCAATATCATTGTACTCCCTATTATTCAATTCTGATTCTGCATTTTAAATTGAATATTAATTTCAGCTAGCCTTTTAAATGTTCTACAGATAGCAAGATGTATGCAGAAATAAATTACTATTATTTCATTCTTGGAAAGGCTAAGATAATGTGTAGTCTAGTAAATATTTTTTCAAGTTTTTAAATAAATTTATTTATTATGAAAGACAATATTTTGCCTTTAATTTACTATGTTATTGGTCTAATGTCTGAAATGTATATATATTAACATTGTGTTTATTAATGTAATTTTATTGCTTATTATATATTAAGACTATTTTGATGCCCCTTTATATTGAATTTAATTATTAATAATAATATTGGGCCGTCACACTATTATTCGCTCAACTTGTCCGTTAGCTCGCCTAATTCCTGGTTATATATCATGGATGTTTATTACTAGCTGTTGGCTATTAGTCTTGAATTCCCTCAAGAATTCTCTGAAATAGGTATTTGATGGAAACCTGCCTCCATATCAAATGTGGTGATGTAGGAGTCCATTGACCAGTTGATCAATCCGATCAGAGATGAGTGGGATAATCGATAAGAAATCCGCTATATCCTTTGATGAATCAAAAACATGATCCCTAAATCTTAATATGTCCCGAGAATACCGGGCCTCATGCGTATATCAAAATCATTGAGGTTGTACGTCTGAATAGCTTTATTAATATGTTGGCACCACTCACGTACTCCAACGTTAGTATCTGGATCAAATGAAGGTAGGTAAATATCATTGATCTTACCTTTGTTTCCGATGGAGTATTCAGTCGATCTGACATATTTTGCATCATATGCGTCATCTGCATAACAACATGTGATGGTACATTAATCATTGAAGTGTTATCACTCCAATTCTGTTGCATTGTTTCAGTGTTGGATAACATCGATGGTTGTTTAATAGCAGATGGTTGAGCAGAAGTGGAAGAGCGTTGTTCACATCCCACTTCTGATGACGGAATATTAGCACTAGAAGTATTTTTAAAAACTATGACGTCATCATTGATGACGTCATTATTGAGATTTCTGGTTTCACTCATTATTGCTTCCTTTAATAATAAAAATCACTTATTTACTCTTAACTGATTCTATTGATCACTATTAATAATTATTTACAATTAACAATTATTCACTATTGTTCACAATTTATAGTTCACAAATTCAACTTACAGTCCGAACAGCATGACAGCTCGAGCAAGAATGAATCCTCAGTTTCTCTATCTAGTCTGTGATGAATCCTGCCCCAGCCATCGTGCGCCTTTTAAACGGAATGCAAGTGTGCGCAAGCCATCCCCACTTCCTGCGCTTCGAGAATTATTACCTTCAAATTCTTATAGCGACCATCCGCATTTAATTATATTTTGAATTAAAGCATTTTAAATTGTTTATTTAGTAACAATAATCAGCTAATTATAAAAATAAAGACATATGTTATTAAAATCAGGTTATAACGTTATTTCGGTAGTTGAAATAACGTCTATTAATTTTTAACTCAATGATAATTGTTTAAGTAATGCGCCGATACGTCGCTTATAATTTGTTACGCCGATAAATATAATATGTATTAGTTAGATACATTGTGAATTCATGCGATGGCCCAAGTGTTTCTATACATTTAAAATATCAAAGATTTTTACTATTGATATGGTCACAATAAGATGTTGTTAGGTTAGCTAATTACGTAGTAATTTAAGACAGAAGAACTTTTAAGTAGGGACCGAATAAAATTACCGACTTGGTATTAAATGGAACTCACAACTTTTTACCCTAGAATAACTGACTAGCGAGACTTGGTTTTTTATTTACAAGATATGTTTTTGATGGCATTACTTTTAATAAGAATTACTTGTAATCTATATTGAATAAAAATTATTTAACTATGTTTCATTCTATTTTCGTTATATTGCTAAGTAAATAACAATTGTAAATAACGTGATAACAGTGTATTTAATTACGGAACTAGACAGCACTTCGCTAATGGATTACGGCATACGAGTATGTGGCGTTAATGGACGCAGGGAGCGTAGGGATGAAACTATGTGATAAAACCCGTAACGATAATATCCGCGTTAGAGCTCAAGTAATCGCACCCAACGGATCAGTAAGATAAAATAGCATTGAGCTAGACGAAAGCTTGGCAAACCAACAACCGATGGGGGCATCTACATTTTAATTCTAAATCTAGGATAAATGTAGACGTCTATGGCCACAATATCCACTTACCATCAGGTGTGCTGTGTACCCGTTTGTCACCTATATTCTATAAAAAACAATAATATCATCTTTTATTACATTTGTGGGGCCCGCAGCCCTAAAAGCGCTTCTGTCTCTATGTTAGTGCGCTTATTTGTTGCACTATATTACCTTCAGTTGTCAATGTGCTTATCGTGCAAGAAGATAAAACATAACGGTAAAAATTAAAAATGAGCAATTTGAATATATATATATATATATATATATATATATATATATATATATATATATATATATATATAAATATATATATTATATACATATTATAATCCAAACGATAAATGTCATTATTTCTTAAAATTTAATATTTAAAGAAAAATATATACATTGTAATTTTTATTTTTATTTTTTCTTACGAAATTATATTACATAACATACATTATATTACATAACATACATTATAACTGCCCCGTTGGTCTAGTGGTTGTAGTGGCACGACTACTGATCATGTGGTCCTGGGTTCGAATTCTGGGCCGGGCGAAAAAATTAATTATTGAGTTTTCCGTCAAGAAATTCTCAATAGCTGCCCGAAGTCAGGAAGTTGGCGGTATATCACCCCCGTGCTTCGGAAAGCACGTAAAGCCGTTGGTCCTGCGGCTTATCTCTCTCCGGTCGTGTCGATTTACCGTCTCATTGAATATGAGAGTGATGGAATAGAGAGTGCACCTGTGCTTGCGCTACACTTGGGAACTATAATCCAGTCCTGCTTGTTTCCGTTGAGGCTGGCCGCCGTGACCAAAATTCGGTCTGGAGGACGTTATAGAGGAGAGATTATTACCTAGAGGGTAGGTAGAAACTACAGACTTCCCATTTTCAATATATCGCCAATTTGATCGATAAACTTTCGCCTAGGACGTCCCTTTCCGACTATTCAGTTCTCTTCTGCAACATAAATTTGCTTTGTCACTATTTCCTCATTCATTTTTATTACATGACCAAACCACCGAAGCATTCCTTTCTTAATCCTGGTCCCAGCATGATCTTGCATACCAAACTCTTCTCTTATCACACAATTTTTAACTTTTCACTCAGCTTCAGCCCTAACATACTCCTTAGCAACCACATTTCTACTACATTTATTCTACTCTCGTGTTTCTTCTGCCACACCAACTTTCACTACCATACGTCAAAGTAGGGACTAACACATCATTGTAATTTGCCATACGTATCTTTTTTGATACTTTTTGACTTTTTACATTAGAGTGTAGAGCTCCATTTACCTAAAATTATATTATTTGCATAATGACACGGGACGGTACAAAATATTCTTACCGCAAAGAAATAAATTTACATAAATTATAAGAAGTTAATAAAATGAGGTAATCAAATAATTAGTTTTTTTTTATAATGGTAAAACTAATTATTACATACTATTATAGTACAGTATAAATTATAATTATTTATTACTCTAAAATTAGGATTAATATCTGAATTATAACAAACATCGATGATTTTTTTATACACACTTCACTTACTATCAGGTTGGTACTCATTTATATACTATACTGTAATTGCTATAGTTCTTGTTAGTACTTCGTTTCACTTCAAGACGAAACAAATATTTCTTCCATTACGAAAATCGTTTTTTATGTATAATTTTTCATTACGTCTTTGATATCGCATTCAAACGAAATTTAATCCTAATCGCCAAGCATTGTATCACACACAAAATATGTGTGGATAAATGATTGACTCGTGTATTTTGCGAATACATGTGGCAATAAATATTTTCTGATCGGCCAAAAGTAGTTATTAAGCTATTGCATAGTTTCTATCGCGGGCCTTGAGCGCGGGGACCGAATCCAGAAATTCCGTAACGAAAAAAACCTCACGCTCCCCACTATTCATTATTTCCAGAAAATATTCAAATAAAAATAAAATAGTAAAAAATGCAATTATTTACAAGAGTTAAATTACAATAATTTTTTAAAATGTAATCCCATATGACGAATATTTACATATACGTCTCCACGTCTGAAAGATATGATCAAAGCGTCACAAACAACAAGAGTCCCATGTGGGCCTTACTACGTGAGGCTGGCGGACAATGGTTTTATGGTACATCACGTTATGTTTATATAAGCCAAGCCACGCGGCCGCCTTTCTCCCCTTCTTCATTAGGCTGGGACATGTTGTTAAGTGGAGCGGACACTTTGGCGGAGACAGGAGCCTCGCTCACGCGACGTCGCGTGAGTGGAGGCTCGCGTCATGCTCCACAATCAATACGCGCGCACACAGCTGCACTGAGAAGTGTAATGGCGGCAAGAGCGATCTGTACACAGGCTATCACGACCAAATCCCGCGAAGATGGTCTTGAATCCTCGTCCAGCAACCCATCACTGAAATAGAACAGGAGTGAGTTAATAGTACCAATTATTATATCACGTAGTGAGTAACAATGACAAATTTTAAAATGACTACCATTTTGCTAAAGATACCGTGAATAGTTGTTTCATCGAATAGTCGGTTAGTTATTAGAAAAAACTGTAAAAAAACTGTAAAAGGTACTAGTCACTATAAATCGACATCAAGTTTCAAAGCCATTTAAGCGTGTAACTTTTTCATGGCTGTAAATACTTTAGTTGTGACGTGGCAGCATGGCAGCATAAGAAAATCTATCATCTCATTTCATCTCACTGTTCTAATAACAATGCATTAAACGCAACTATCGTGAGTTAAGAGTAAACATACGTGTCAACCAGTGTACTTTTACTAACTGATAAAGAAAGCAAAATGCAATCGTAGCTAGCGTTGTTAACATACCATTAATTGTTATTTGAACATTTTATATGATCCAAAAAAATTTCGGCTATTTCTATTATCGTTTTAAACAACGTTCTTTATAATTTATGATTTTAGAATAAAATTTACTCATATTTAGTGCCCGGTGGATCTAAAATGGCTCTACAGCATTCCACAATTAAAGCAACGAGTAAACAACCCGCGGCCGCCCAGAGAACGCTCGCCGCTCCCGCCCCAACCATCGTTCCAGTCATTGCACTCCAACCTCGCGATGTATGTATTGATACAGCTAGAAACAAAAGAGACAATATTTTTTAACCAGGTCAATTTTTCCTGATTGCATGGAACAGATATAAATTTATTTATAACCACTATTACATTTCATACATATTAACGCATATTTTTCATTTAAAGATTATATATTCCAAGAGGTCCTAGTGTAAATAGCAATATAATACCGCTGTGAATAAAATGATCAATGACAAGAACTGGAAACTCTTCCGACGAGTAACGAGGTATTCTATCTTAACTCTCATGAGTGAGAAGGTATTTTAATTTTTGATCGAATATAAATGTAGATGTCTATGAACTATATCACTCACTTACTATCAGGTTGGTACTCATTTATATACTATACTGTAATTGCTATAGTACTTGTTAGTACTTCGTTTCACTTCAAGACGAAACAAATATTTCTTCCATTACGAAAATCGTTTTTTATGTATAATTTTTCATTACGTCTTTGATATCGCATTCAAACGAAATTTAATCCTAATCGCCAAGCATTGTATCACACACAAAATATGTGTGGATAAATGATTGACTCGTGTATTTTGCGAATACATGTGGCAATAAATATTTTCTGATCGGCCAAAAGTAGTTATTAAGCTATTGCATAGTTTCTATCGCGAGCCTTGAGCGCGGGGACCGAATCCAGAAATTCCGTAACGAAAAAAACCTCACGCTCCCCACTCCGACGGGCACGGAGGTGTGGCATAGAAAGCCGTGCATCGTCTAACGTCGTTTCAGTTCGGCAGATTTCGGCACTCGGCAGAGTTCGGCACGGTATTTGTGTGCGTGCGACTAGACGTATGCGTGTACACTAGCTGCTAACTGAATGATAAAAATTCCTGAATAACCTACATGTATTTTAAGGTATTAAAAATATTTTAAACAATATTAACTTCTCATTTATTCAATAAGAGAAAAAAAATTGTTTTCTTATCGGTCACCACTCTCAAAAAGTGTAACTTGATTTAATATCAAAGACTTAACTGCATAAATAAAATAAATAAATAATTATAATTGCATAAGTTGATAAAAAATGCTATGCAATAGCTTTACCGCGGCAGTCACCGATTGCCACACGTATTTTTTTTAAAACCATACGTTCAAAAGGTTTTTTAAATTTTACCTGCAGCTACAACACTGAAACAACCAGCCGGTATTCCTAGGCCCATATTTAATTTTTGACGTTCTTCTATAAACGCTACGCTACCCATCACCATCGCCGATATCCCGCAAACTATCTGCAAGTAAACAAAACTATTGAGAAATTGAGATGACGATAAATGTAGATCTATCTATGAGCCACAGCATCCACATACACTTATTGCACATCACGTGGCCTGCGTGCTCGTTTGTTACAGTTATTCTATTGAAAAAAAATGAATATTATTGCCGTGTGGCAGCAGCGTTAGTAGAAAATCCATCACCATATTTCTTCCTATGGGTGCAATAAGGGCTGCCTATAAAAAATATCAGAATCGATATATAGAATTCTAGTCCACATTACTCCAGATGTGAAACGTTGCAGTTGTATGACTACGAGGAGTAGCGACAAAGGTAGGAGATACTGCGATCGCTTTTACACGTATTGAGCGTGGTGATTATGATAAATTATTTATTTAACAAAAGAGGCCCAAATCCAACAGTGAGCTTTTATAGAAGCTATCATCACACGGAAATTTTTATTGTTAATTTTTTATAAAACTGAAGTAGCCAACAATCCTACACGCGATGGTAAGTGGCTACTCTTAATGGTCACCAGCAACCAACTTAAAACGTAGAATGCTAGAGATAGGTGATCATCTCTCTCATATCACCTCTGAGGCCTCACAGCCTGTAATTACACTGGCTCTCCGTCCTTAAACAACCGGAATACAGTAGTGCAAGTGCTGCTATTTGGCTGCAAAACTTTGTAAGAGGATGACCCACCCTGACGGACTCCTAGCTAGAAAATGAATCCTACCATCCATTTCTTATCTATATATGTATATATATATATATATATATATATTTTATATATATATATATATATATACATACTTGTATTAAAATCAACACAAAAACTCAAAACCTGCAGTACACGAAGTCTTAGCACAACGGCTAGTGGGTATTATGAAAACCCGTTCCGACAAATCCCTCCATTCCAGTCACCTGTAAGGGGAGCTACAGATTCCTTTCGTTGGGATAGAGTTATCTGCAAATGCAATACTTTATTCATTAACCATTAAGACTTAAATTTTTAAATGTATAATCATTGATGCGTCTGTTAGTGATGTGTAACCGAACTGCCTCGTTGATCGGGGAATCGGATTGAGCCAGAATCAGTATACGGGATTTTTGTCAAGAAATTCTCAGTAGCAGCCCGTAATCAGGTAGTTGGCAGTATTTCACCCCAATGTCTTGGAAAGCACATTAAGTTGTGGATCGGATTACGGTCCTGTCGGACTATGAGAGTGAATGGACAGCACTTGTGTTTGCGCATACACTTAGGTACTATAATCCTGTTCTGCGTAGATGGCAAGCCTCAGTGAAACTGTCCGCCGTTACTGAAATTCAGTGAGAGTCTTTTAAACTTTTGAAGAACCGGTTAACACAATATATTATTTGTTTTGACGAGACCGTAGTTCATAGTTATATTAGGTTCCGATAGGTGATGTTACAGTCGAGTTATTAACAAATTCTTCTATATTTAGGGTACAAAATTTTACATATTGATTTAGTTTACCTTACAGGTGGACGGTCAAGTTATTAATAAATTCTAATTAAGCACTGTAACACGTCCGAAATGATTTCAGAGAAAAACTCATTTTACGTGGTAGAGCCATGCTCGGCTCAAGCTCGGAACTACCATGCTCACATATACTCGTAATACCAGCATAAAATAACTGCTTAATACTGCTGTGTTTTGTATAGTGTATTTAAAGAACCGGAGACTCTTATTACTGGATTTGAGGCATTTCATTTTAGTCCACAGGAGTGACAACGCATCTGCATTTTGATCCATAATTGAAGTTCTTGTTATATATTACACAAATCAACACGAATTTGTTGCCTAAGTTCTGTGTACCCAATTTTGATTTGCTATACCTAATTAATAAAATAAATACTATTTTTTCTGGTAAATATTGCTTTTGTAGCTACCAAAATGAAATTTCAAATTTTGAAGAAAATCGCTAGCTTTTTCTCTTTCAGTTATATATAAAAAGAAAACAATCACTGATTTATTTATTTACATCACTTTTATTCACTAAGGACAGTTGAAACAAATTTAAAAAGAAAAACAAAAGAATGGTAATTAACTTTTAAAAATGGATTTTTAAGAATTTGTTTTGTGTGCAGAGGAACTTTCCCGAATCAACCCCCAAATGTAATCTCCCAACATGTTTTCATTGTATTGTCCCTGATATCGTTCGATCCATCACATCTTAATGAAAACGCTCCCCTTGCTCCTCTGAAAATGCTCCCAAGTTGTCTTTGAATTGATCTAAGTGAGCATGTAATATATACAGTTTCAGGGACATTCTGCAACTCATAAATTTTAATGTATCGAATTTTCAGCCCTTTTATAGCCGAGGAATCTATGTACTACTTACTGACTTAAGACTATGCCACGTTTGTTTCTCATATGTGTTCAGGACACGTGGGATTTTTTCACATGACATTATTTTTTTATTTGTGGGTTTATATATATACACATTATATATATATATATATATATATATATATATATATATATATATATATATATATATATATATATATATATATATAAGTATATGTTTCTTAGAATAAACAACATTGTAACTTTCTTACTTCCTAATACGCTGTTGCAGTTATTACATGAGAAATGTGGGGCCCATATTTTACCCTGACTTCTAATAGGAAGTTTAAAATAAGCTTCATAGGCTTCACAAAGTTTTTTGTTAGTAGATAAACTAATTTTTTTAGCTTATTTTTATAAATTCCTCGCAAATGTAGCAAAAAGAGTCCACGTTATTTTCACACATTTTGGAAGACATTTTACGCTCAGAGAAACAAAATACGTAATTTCTCTAAAAATTGCGTGCGTACACAAAAAATTAAAATTGTGACTGCTATGCCGTTCCACAACCGATATCCCCCTGTACCCTTTATATTTTTTATTTTTCATCGTATAAAGTACAAAAGCAAACTTTTTATTTTATTAATTGAGTTTTTCGTTATTTTTCAATGTAAACAATTAAACAATAGTCATTAAATAACGGACACAAAAAAGTTTTTTTTTTTTTTGTTGACTTGTGTTATATTTGAAATAAGACGGAAGTATTCACTTACTACC